ATCCAATAGCTTAGTAGGGCAAAGACCTGAAAGTACCGAAGAAACATTTGGTGCTATAATAATGACAGTAGATTCTCTACAGTCAGATGAGTTTAGATGGAACCAATAAGTTCTTCATCTGTATGTAGTCGGTGATTTTGTGTGATCTATAACCATCCTTATAATTATGCTTTCAAACATTTACCCCATATCATTTTGCTACAGAGCATTTATGCCACATTTATCCATATATTGTGTTCTTCTTCATTCCTGACCTGAAGGATGTGTAAGATCAATGGCAGATCATCAGATTCAATGAAGGATAGCAAGCATGTTGGCAGTAGTTGGTTCCTTGATGTCCTGGACGTAATAAGTCTTATAGCATAGGCAGCCACAGAAAAGGACCATCACAAGTCAAATGGTGATAACAGCCTCCCAGATATTTGGCAACAATACCACTTCTTTCATTTTTACTTCCAGAAATTTTATCCATGATTATTTACCTGTTTTGGTGGGAAGAATATATGTTCCATTGAAAGGAGTCTTGTCAATATTGACAAGAACTTTAATGTTCTTAGACTTTAACTGTGCAGTATAAGATGAACAGACAATTACTTAGTAAAAGGATCTGGCAAGGTTGTGTGGTAACTTTAGTATTTTCTTCCTTACTGGTTAAACAGAGAATTCTCAATAGACTAGTGTATGTGATATCTTAGAGCCTTTTGAATAAAATTGTGTTCCTTAAATCAAAACATTGCCAGTATGAACAAATGATCAAGAGTAGGCCACTAGGCCTTGAGAGCCTACTCTGCCATTCAATAAGATCATCGCTGATCTGATTTTCACCTTGAGTCTACATTCCTGCATAGCACTGATAATCGTTTATTCTCTTGGAAATCAAAAATCTACCGACCTTTGCCTTAAAACTATTTAAAGATTCTGCATCCATTGCTTTTGGAGGAAGTGAACTCCTAAAACTCACAAGCCTTTCAGAGAAAAAAGAAAGTTTCCTCATCTCTGTTTTAAATGGGTGCCCCTTTGTTTTTAAACTATGACCTCTAGTTCTAGTTTATCCCACAGGAGAGAATCCTTGATGTCCTTTTGATATCCACCTGGTCAAGTCTCTTCGGGATTTTATTTGTTTCAATTAAGTCACCTCTGACTCTTCTAAATTCTGAAGTATACAGACCTAGCTTGTCTAGCCTTTTCTCATAAATCAATCCACTCATTCCAGGTATTAGTCCAGTAAATCTTCTCTGAACTGCTTCCAATGTGTTAACATTTTTCACACAGGTTTGTATGTGAAATGAACTGCCAGAGGAAGTGGTAGATGCTGGTACATTTAGAAGACATTTGAACATGAATAGAAAAGTTTTAAAGGGATATGGGCAAAATGCAGGCAATTGTGACGAGTTTAGTTTGGGAAACTTGGTTGGCATGGACGAGTTGGACTGAAGGGTCTGTTTCTGAACTGTATGACTCTATCCTTCTGTAAGTATGGTGGCCAGTACTGTACACAGTGCTCCAGATGTGGTCTCACCAAGGTCCTGTGTTACTGAAGTATAATCTCCTTATTCTTGCATTCAATTCCCCTTGCAATAAACCATAACATTCTATTCGCTTTCCTGACTACATGATGTACATCTCTTGCTGCAGTGTCCCAGCGAAGCTCAGCGCAAGCTGGAAGAACAACACCTCATTTTCCACTTGGGAACCCTGCAGCCCTCCGGACTCAATATTGAGTTCAATAATTTTAGGGCCAGAACTCTCCCGTGTCCTAGCCCCGAACCCCTCACACCTGGCCTTGTTATCACATAGTCTGCCATTACACACTACATAGTGTTAGCCACTAACAGTCTCCATTAACAGTTATTCACCCTCCTAACCAGATCATTATCCATTTCTTTGTCTGCTCAACTGTTGTCTCTCTTTGGGATCTATCCCCACCCATCCTTATCCCTCCCCCCACCCTATCTTCTGGAAATAAACCAATATTTTCCTAGTTAGCATCAGTTCTGAAGAAGGGTCACCAGACCTGAAATGTTAACTCTGATTTATCTTCACAAATGCTGCCAGACCTGCTGAGCTTTTCAAGCAGCTTCTGTTTTTGTATCTGATTTACAGCATCCACAGTTCTTTTAGTTTTCACATGATGTATTTGCGTACTTTCCTTCTGTGATTCATGCACCAGGACACCCAGATCTCTCTGTATCTCAGAGTTCTGCAACCTACATCTATTTACTCAAGCAATTTTCACATCTTGATGTTCAACATCCTCATTGATAACAATCACATCCAGAGCAAAGCTGCCTCACTAAATGTCACTTAAAGTCATTCCTTTGTTGCTAATTCCTACCTTTAATATATGAATGGATACTGCCATCAAGCCAAAAATACATTCTTCTGAGTAATGTGGTATATAAATTTCATTGGCAATGTGATGACAGATATGTAGGCTGTAAGTCCCATAAACTGGCAGATCATATCAAGCAACATATTCCTTTGGCTGGTCAGAGCAAGCAAGTTATTAACTATATCCAAAGGCCCATGCTTGCAAAACACAGATCACAGCTTTTAACATGAGATGTAATTCTGCAATGGGACATTTGCTGAATAATCTTGAGTACGCAAAGTATTATACTGACAACCAATTTAGGATTGATAGTCAGGCTTGCAGAGTGGTGTACTTGCAAGTGTTGGAAGCTATGCACATTAATACACAGGGCCCTGCTCTTTGCAAACAGACAGAACATGTACTCACACTGTACCTGTTTCAACTCAATAACATAAGTGATAACCATTTGCCACTTCTATTTTCCTCAGAGCAATGCACTGACCAATCCAAGTCAACCGTCTGGTTTAAAATTTAAGGAAAGCCTGGCTGTTAACTGTCAATCAGTATTAATAGGTGCATTCTCCATGACAATGAATTTACCAATCAGAGTCCACCACATTGCAAGCCTGTCAATCCTAAATTGATTGTCAGCATAATACTTTGTGTACACAAGGTTATTTAACAAATGTCCAATTGCAGAATCACACCTCATGTTAAACACTGTGGTCTGTGTTTTGCCTACTGTTCAGCACTCTGCTCTTGTGTAGTATAAATGTTGGTTTTCTCTTGAATTGATATTCTTGTGAATTGTCCTGATGACTACAAAACGAAAACCTTCGACATAATGTATCTTTTTCCAGCAATACTGAAATCCTGGTATTTTAATTCTGTGATTTTGTTTTAACATTCTATCACCCTTGATATAGTACGCAAGAATTTACTCCAGTAAAAAGCATGTGCACTCACACATATTTTATCATCTCCCCTTTTCTCTTGTCAAACATAAGCGCTCCAAATGAACATTGTAGTCACAATCTGTACTACATTGCAGCATGAGGCACATGTTTTGCCATGACATAATTGAAAAACTGACTCACTATAGTGATAATAATCTAAGTATGAATGATTTGCTTGTTCTCAAATACTGGGAAATACTAACAGACCACGTCTTTTTAACCTGCTGCTACTGATTTCTTCCAATGAATATTATTTTGATGCAGAATTTCATGTACCTTGAATTCCTTCCATAATTTTCTGTTATCCAGCTTCATGTATCATGCACAACGAATCAACAACAGCAACTTAGCCTTTAACATGAAACTTCCCTAAAAGGTAACACATGAGAATTCATGGAACAAAATTTGAAATGGAGCTAAGTAAGAAGAGTTTAGGATAGGTGCCCCAGAAGCTTCATCATATAAGGAAGTTTAAAGGAGTGACTTAAAGGAAGGAAAAGAGGAAGAGAGGTAGAGAGGTTTATGAAGGAAATTTCTAGAGTTTAGGATCTTAGCGGCTCGCCAACAGTAATGGACTCATTAAAGTTGTGAATGCTCAAACATCTGGAGTTTATGGAGCACTGCTGTCTAGGGGATTGTATAGCTGAGGAAGTTAGCAGAAATAGAGAGAGGCCAGTGATCAATCAGCATCTGAAAGCAATCGGCAGGTTAGCAGTTTTTGGGTGCAACCCTTCATCAGAAATAGCCAAAAGGGCATCTCTCCTTCTCAGATTTCCAGTAATCACAGTTTACTCATGGCTGCTTTATACCGTTCATTTTTAAAGGGGGGGCTATTCCTAAAGACCTAGAGAGTCAAGTGTTTTCACTGTAACATTATTATCACAAACACACAAAGTGAGATGCAACTCTTTGTGGAACTTTTTTTAATGTGGCTGTAGATAAAAAATGCCAAATGTAGTTGTGGATGATGACGTTAACAGTGTCAAAATGTAACATCATCAGGAAGGCTATTCACCGAACAATATTCTACAGCTCAAATGTGTAAGATACGAGGTGTGAAAACAATGGCAGTATATTTTGGATTTTCATCTTTCTTTTTCATGTCATAATTTTTTTTTCAATTAGGTGTTTAACATTTTGTTTAGATTAGCCTAAGTTTTTATTTATTTGTATAACTTCCTCTCCCCATTACAGTCTATTTCCAGTAGGATGTGCCTCTAGCAATAGCACTGTTTAAATAACTCAGCCTCCGTGCTCTTCTCCCTTCTTCCCTCTTGGGGAGGGGCAGGGAAGAAACCCATAGCCATTTACCTCCTCTGCATTTGGTACCTTTCAGGAACTCACACAAGCTGAGTTGCACAGCAGAATGCCACATCAGTCAAGGCCAGTTATACAGCCAGTGGAAAGTGCTGGACTAGCTAATAGAATGATGGAATGAAATGCTGAAAGGACAGTGTCTGGTCACACTGTCTAGTACACCAGTCCAGGGAATTGGTATTTGAGCAGTTGCAAGTCCCTTTGACCAGTGTTGCCATTGGGCTCATGCTGTCATGATTTTCAGTGACAAAACGGAGACTGGGATGTTATAAGTGCAACCACAACTCTCCAATGTCAAAAGAACGAGATGGGCAGAGGGAAATTGCTTTAAGTCGGAATGATTTATTTGTGCTTCTATGAGGACAAACTATTCATTACATTTATTGCTTCTTTTAATTTCTATTGTTTTTCAGATTTCACCGGTGCCGCGGTAAGTGGATACCATGTTATTTCATGTAATGTCGTCTGGTGAGCAGAGCAGTGAGATACAGGCTACCAATTTAACATCTAATATCTGTGTCAAGGGAGTTTGGTCTATGTGTGCAATGTAAAACAGGTCTCAAAACATGAACAACTATTGTCATAAGAAAAATCAGTGGCTTATGGAGAATTTCGCTTGCTATCGACATGGGATTTATCTTCATGTAGAACTAGCAAAAGGCCCTAGATTCACTGTGTACCTTTTCTTTGGTCTTGAACAATCCTGCTTTTTGAAGCCTCTTCACATTGTTGGACATCTCTCAATGAGTCAGGGACAGGTGAACCTCTCCCCATACCTCTGCCAAATGCCTCTCTGCATCATAGTAGGTACTTTGGATCCCTGTCTTCCATTTGACATTCTCCATCTCATAGATCAGGAACTTGCTACTGGAAATTAGAGTAAATGCAGATTTACTAGTTTTACTTCCCCATAATACAAAACCTTTGCGCCATCTGTACGATATGATATGTAATTTCTGATGTACCTATGGTAGAAAATAAAGCTCTTTGGGATACCAAAGACAATGAGATTCAGCACATCTATGTACAGGTAGGGTAAACTAAGGGGTGTACAATAAGTGTGCATAAATTCTAAATAGCAGGAAACAATACCTTATTTATAAAAGAAATTGCAAAATCTAATCATGATATTTTGAATAGAGGAAAATATACTACTTTATATATTGTATATACATTCAAATGCAATTGCTTGTATATGAATACAAACAATACAGTGCCTTGTATATATTACATATATAGAGATAGAATATATATGTGACATAGCAATATGTTAAATACCTGGTCTATATGAAGAAAAGAGGACACAGTATGTGGCATTTTACTCAAATAGTTCTTTCATAGAGTGCACCCAATACTTCCATGGCAAAATGCCTCTCGTTGTTTTAAAATTAGAGTTGTTCAGTTAACTATCTGGCTACCAACAGTTAAGTACGGAGTGGAATTGTTGTGCTGGACTGTGTTCAGTCAATGTCTAATGCCACATAAGAAGAATGTTTGAGGCTTGTCATTTTTTTTACAATAAATATGCCCCTGAAATTAGCCTTATAATGCTGTTTTTACTTTTAATATTAAGATTCTTTGACCTATATATAGATGTAAGAATTTGCCTAGGTGTTAGACTTTAGTGAGACATATTGGGTTTTGTGAGTAGAACAGGTGTTGGCTGTATTCATGACATAGTTAATACTCTCACCATTTAAAAGCCAGTCTCTTTTCGGCATGATGTTCAGAATAGGGTCACTGCCAGGAGAGGAGTGCATTCAGCCTTGGTTGTAAAGCTGTACTGAATTTTCATTTTAAAGTAATATGTTGAGAATAATGGATAAACTGGGAGCACCTACATGTCAATGTCTAAATTTGAATTGCATCACAGAACCCAGGAGGGGACCACAAATTCTTACGACCATATGAAAACCTGCAAGATTAGATTACAGGTATAAACACACATTTTTATGCACCAATTCTTTTTATTCCATATTTGAAGACTTATTTATTAATTTTCTCCTGTTGCTGGCCCTCTGTCTGTCTGACCCATCCTGTTACCAATGAGGTAGGGAGACAACTTGCTTCTGTATTTTTCCATTGCTATTCTATAAGCAGACATTATAGGATACAGTAACCTTTCTCCATCCCACCCGTCCCCCAACCTGAAGAGAGACTCTTATTCCAGTTCTCCCTTTGACCTTGTGGAGATGCATCAGGTCACTGTTGTACACCTTTCCCTTGACAACATGGCCAACATAGGAACTCACCAAGGTCAGAGTTGTGAATGTAAATTCACATCTTACAAGGCCGATAACCCAACACAATTGGTTATAGTATTCTTCCAGCTGTGTCATTGCTTCAATAAGGAATTCTATTCAGATTTGTGATCATAAACTATGCTAGAAGCAGCTCTAGTGCTGTCATCAACAGAAAACAACAAATGCTGGAAATCACAGCAGGTCATATGGCATCCATGGAGAGAGAGTAAGATAACATTTTAGTCTAGATGACTCTTCATCAGAGCTGAAGTGAAGTTTTCAGTACAGGTTCCAGCATCTGCAGTAATTTACTCCTGCATCCTATCATCAACAGTCTGTGTGCACCACGTATCTGATCCATGATGACATTCACACACAAATTAAGCAACTGTGTGATGCCATCAGTGCAGGTTTATTGAAAAATAATTGCAGTTAATTGCTAAAGGATTTTTCTGTCATTACTTGTGATGAACTGAGAGATGCCTAAATTATTCTCAGCAACTAAAGTCATGGTGTGACCATTAATTTCACACATGAAGCTATGAATCAGAATGGAAATTTTCACCAAAGATATGAGTCTGTGCATATTGCATGAAATTTCCTCCATTTGTTATTGTAGCAGAATAATAAACACATATCTTGTGAAGTTTAAAGTTCAGGATTTACAACAAGCAGAGGAAATGTCCTTCTGCCATCCCTTGCTCATTATGAAGACCTGTTTATAAGCTACAGTACAAATATGGAATGTGATTCTGACTCATACACCAGGCATTTCCAGTATAGAGCATTTTCCTAAGTTTTAATTTTGCATAATTGACCCACGCATCTATGTTGGGGAAAGTATAAAGCATCCCCAGCAAGCAAGACTCAAAATTCAATAATTGCCTCTATGCTGTTTCAGAAAAGCTAACTGTTCAGCAATAAATGCTCTAAGCACCTGATTTTAGTTCTGTAGGTGAGTACATTTTGTGAATGAGTTAAATTCTCCCCCTATGTGTCACATAATGATCCAGGCAGATTAGCTGAAAAGGTTTAAATAATTGCTAAAGGGTACCAAACCAAAACTGGTCTACAAAATGGAACTAGTGAAGGAACACAGCCATAAAGTATTAACAATGGCAAAGGGGAAAGTCCTCCAACTCTTGCCAGCTGAAACCCTGCATGATATGGGGAATCATGAGCCAGGAATTGTCTCCACGCTGTCTGGTAAGTAATTGTTATCATGTTTTTACCTTTAATAATATTGAGTTATTTTAACAAATGCAATGAATTCAGAACAGAACAATATATTATTTACATAAATAGTTGGATATTATTGAGTGAAGTGAAATTTGACTATTTGTAAGGACTTGAAGTTCTGAAGGCAGAGTGACACTAACTTATTGACATTCTCCTCTCCACAGAAACATCAGGACTCTCTGCCTCAGCCACAAGTCAGAATTCGCCCCCAAATTCAGAGGCTCCTGCCCAGCCAACAACATCTGCCTCAACAACAGCTTCTGCGTCTCCCACTGCTCAAGTTGTGCTCACCAGCACAGCTCCTATTTCACCTTCATCACAATCATTAGTTAGATCTCCCACACATGAAAATGTTGAAAATGACCTAGAAGAGTTAGCAGTGCCAGTGGAGGATGGTGAATTGGACAGATCCATGGCTGATTGCAGCAGTCATAAAGAGGAATCACCTAGCCATGAAAATGTGGAGACAGATATTGGTGGACAAGCCTTCAAGGCAAAAGTATTGGTGCATCAACAGGATATTCACCAGGCAGTGAAGCACTTCCACAAATCTGTAGATCAAAGATTAGAAGAAATTCAAGGCTCTCTCTTTGATATTAATGAAGTGTTGGACGCAAGAATGGGTGCCGTGCAGACCTGCATGGTCACCCATGGGGTGAGTGACTTGGTATCTGTTCTGAAGGAAGGGTTGGTAGATCTCAAAGAAGGATTGCAGTCAGCTATCAGGGAAGGCTTTTCAGAGCTTAGGGATGCCATGAAAACTGGCTTCAACCAGCTGGATGGTCGCCTGGAGCACATGGAAAGCACGCTGGAACAAACCTTTGGGCATCCAAGGGCAAACGATGGTACTCATGCCAGTAATTTGTCTTTGTTAGTGACAAGCTCAAGTACTATAACCACAGAAACCTATCAAGTAGACATTGGGCCTGCCTTACAGATGTGTCAAGAGATCACTTGCCATGATGCACAGACATCAGCTAGTGCCTCTTCCGTCTCCATTATTCATGCTCCACAAATTGATGTGTCTCTTTCTTCCACTGATATTGCTCTGATGGGGTCACAGTCCACCAGCAGTGGACACTCACTAAAAAGATGCTGTAAAGTTACACTGGAAAAGCTACCACAGTACAAACATTAGGCACGCACATTTCATCAATTTGTAAATAAAAAATGTCATTTAATTTCTTGTATTTGCTTCAGTTATTTGTAAATTCTCTAAAACTTGAATGGTACCACATGTATAGTGAATGAAATGTATGAAAGTGTTTCTCTCTCGTGCAGGTTATTTGAATATTGAGTTCACATTTATATGATTGCAGTGCTATGTGTTAATTCAAAATGACTCAAGATAAATACAGACTTGTCTTTTGTAAGCATCAATGTTATTTCTGTAAACAGCACAAACAAGGCAGTTTGTCACTTCTTCATGTGAAGTAGTTTCCAAGCCAGGTGCCAAGACAATCACCCTTTGGGGCAGGCTGTTCAAGATCCATGACCTCTGCTTGCATTGTGTACATTTGCTGCTCATCAAATTGAACATCGTCCTTACTGTGAGATTGAATAACACACGGCCTGCTGCAATGATTTGATCCTCTGGCTGGCAGAATGAGATACCTCCATCTTCGCTCCTTCAAGCACATCAGATCAGTTGTGGGACATCCCTCCCTACTCCTGGAATACCGAAGACTCTTTCTACTTTTTTTCTATAGGCTTTACAGCAACTCCTTGTTTGCCCAACAGCCAAACTTGCACACTGCTGCTCTCCTCAATCAATGCTGCTACACACAAATTGTGTAAAATACGGGGAGTGCATATTGCTACAGGGAATTTTGCAGTCATCTACATGATGAAATGCTCTTTCCCTCAAAGCTCTGCACATTTAGGCAATGGAATATGCAGATAAGAACTTTTTCAGGGATTCCCAGTTTGTGTGAAACCAAACACAATT